CCCCTTTCCCTCTACCCTCCCCCTCCTCCCCCCCCACTCATTCACCAACACCCCCCCCTCCCCCTACCCTCCCCCTCCTCCCCCCCTACTCATTCACCAACACTCCCCTCTCCCTCTACCGTCCCTCCCACTCCTCCGCCACCACCCTGTCCCCCTCTGTCCTTCCCACTCCTCCCCTCTCTCCCTATCTTCCTTCCTCCTTCTTCTCCACGATCCCTCTCCCTCCCCTCTCTTTCCAACTTTCCTCCCCCTACCCTCCCCCTCCTCCTACCTCAAGAGGAGGGTTAAACATGGATTTGTTGACTGTCTGTTAGAAAGAATTTGACTGCCGGGTTTGCTAGTATCCCCCTCCCCCTACCCTCCCCCTGTTTGAATTTCATCCTGGGGAGAACCCTGCATGCACAATTAACATCTGAATGTAAAAAATAATTTTTACATTTCTTATGGAGTAGTTTTATTTCTTTGGAATCTCACAAATGCAACATTCATGTTACTGTTCAGTGTTCCCCTGGCCAAAAAGGTCTGTGAGGTGGTAAATTATTATTTTTGGGTGTGTTTGCGCATTCCAAGGTCCTAGAAAAGCGAGCACTGCAGGTGCTTGCCCTGCTAGGGGGGTCTGGGGCATGCCCTCCTGGGAATATTTTGAAAAATGGTGCAATCTGGTGCATTATAAGCACTGTTCAATGGAAGACTAGTTATTTTTGTCAGCGAGGCGGTGTTTTGGACAAATAAAATTTCCGTGTGGCAGCTGAGAATTTGAACGAGGCGGCCGCCTCACTCGTGTCAATGCAGGGGAAACATTGCTGCTGTCTTCATTTACTGGTCACCTTCTGACAACTATTATATAGACGATTTTATCAGTGGTTCTCAAATCCAGATCTTAACAATCCTGCTTATTAATCTGTTATACCATAAATTTATTGCGAAAATTGAAAAATTGGCCTGTACCTATATCCCTATCCTGCAGGGGATCATGTGCACCTAGGTCAACCTTTCTCTGATATTATCTTGGTTTTTTTTCTGTATCAAATTAGCCTGTTCACAGTTCACCAGATAGCTTGCGTATTTGAGTAAATACCCATGAATTTCATAAAAATATGCATGTAATTTTCAAAGGTATGCGTATAGATACGCTTGTGTTTTAATAAATACGTACATGAGAAAACAAACAGATCGTATCAGTACGCTAACCTTCCATCTACTCCCGTATCGGCTCGCTCGACTCTCTCGCTAATAGACTGGTAGCTTGGTGGCTCGCGGTTGCCCCACTCATTAAGTTCCGCTATGGCTGCTGTTTGTTCAGACGTGAAACCAGTCTATCTACTATCTATCGTGACTGCAGTTCCTGTGTGTAGTTTATTTTACAAAGCTCTGCGATTCAGAATTGGAAGGTGTTAGCGACTGGAACGCGAGTTATTACTCCGGCCTTTCCCGGAATTAATTCTAAATAAGGGAAAGTTCGAACGTGGTGTGATCTAAGCTTGCCTTGACTTATTAGCGTTCATTATATTGATTTAGCAATTAGAATTCAGTTTACTCCGCGGTAATAAAAAGCACCGTTGCCGGGTTCCGTCTGCGCAGAAACAAACATGAAGTCTAACGTTGCGCATGGGGTTGGTGGGGCGCGAACAGTGTCAGAGGCGATTTTAAGGTAATATATGATATCCTACAAGACAAAGGAATGTTTGTCAAGTGGGATAGATATAGTTTCACCTATAATCTCGCTAGTTGTTTGAATAACTGTCTGGACGACTTGTCGCTCCCAAGGCCCCGGAAGAAGAAAACACGATGGTAGTCCTTGTTAGCGAGGAGACTAGTAGCAGAATGGAAGGGGAAAAATATCCAATGGCTTATACTCGTTGGCGAAAGGGTGCGGACAGGAAGGATTAGGTGCAGACAGTTTTGTGTTAATGCAAAAATGATAAATGTGTTTCGCGAAGGAAGGAATGTCTGGGTCGATGATACTCAGATACTTAAGAAAATACTTTTCATGAAGTACTGCCAACAAGGATACTCATAGGGATCTTGCGATACTCATACAGGAAAAAATGGTGAGTAATATACTCAATCAACGCCAAAAATTATCTGGAGGAGCACTGCTGTTCATAAACAATGTCTCAAATTTGTTTTCACGGAGTAGAAAATTATTCACTGCAACCCCACTTATCTTTCTGTGTGGGGCAGTTCACCCCTATTGCTACGAAACTAATATAAAGCAAATATTTGTTTAATGCTTGTTGTTTTTTTTACAAAAATTGCACGCGTTAAGCCGTACAGTATATACGCCTAGTATATATACACGGTATACTTTTTTTTATAATATTCTGTGTAAAATTATAATTTCAGAAGGAAAAACATTATTTGACACTACCTAATGTCCTGCACCAGCGATTCGGGAATTGTATTGGCCACACTGTGTATGGCGATACCTAGTGCTGCCAAGAAAGCTATGAATAGCAGTCACTCTGTTCGGTATAGCAGGCATCCACAGGACCTGGTATGACTCGCCTCGCGCCTGGTCATATCCTGCGAGTCAAAAAATACAAATTTGTATTTATCCTGCTTGTTCGCGTTGGAAATCTTAAAATCAAATATTCATATGTGGAACCGTCTCTTTACCATAATTATTGTATGACATATTATTTTATCAACTATGAAAACTTTATTAAAGACGATAGCTGTGAATAATGATTGCTTTTACCCTGCATAAATGCCCTTCTGTACTGTCCTGAATGCATCAACAGCAAATCCTTATCTGTAATTGATTCTTATTTATACTTCTCTAAATGTACAAAATTCTGCGACCTTTGTGTTGATGCTCAACTTTTATGCATGTTGCCTGTTCAGATAAGATCAAAATGATCCACTGGGTTAGATGTGTACTGACAGGAAAAACAGTTAACAAATTGCTTGTTTGCCATGGAGCAGAAGTGCCAGTCTTAGACGGTTAGACCTCTGGTGTTAGACAAGCCCAGGTTCATTACTTAAAAAAATAATGGCCAACCATGGGCACATTCTGTATGTCGTATATATTTTGTCATGTAACATTGTGTAATAAGTCTTACTGAACATTTTAGATGTTTCTATCTACATTATAGCTTGATGGATATCACTTCGCAAGCAAATTATTCAAGACGGCCCAGGACATCAGCCACTTGAAGTGTATCTTGTATCCATTGGGCCAGATTGAAGCTCTTGGTCAGCATCCTTACATTACACTAACTGTCCATGAATCTGGATAGCCAGGTTAAGGGCGGTCCCTTGGTATATTCTGCGTTAAACTCTTAAAGTGAGTAGATAGTAACATTGTTATGCTTGTACTAAGTTTGGGTTTAGTGATGGATTGATAATGCATGCAATTGCTAATTATACATATTTCAGCTTCCCACTGACGCATTAAGTTCTTGCCGTAGAGACTGCTAGCTTAACTTGCTGGTGGATTCTTACGTGGAGATATGCTAATCACTATGCCGCTCCTGTAGTGCATTAATTTGTGTCGGTAATGTCTTGCATCTATTAACTGGGCATTCCATGTCACCATGGCTTCTAAGAATGCTAACTGCGCCTTCTTCTGTAATTGACCCCAATTTCATAAAACAAATACGAGATTACAGAAGTGTTTTAGATGTGCAGGGTAATTAGACTTGAAATCTGAAAATCAGTAAAGATGTGCAATCAATTCACATCTTTAGAAGACTATTCAGACATTTGAGACAATTCAAAAAGCGTAGCTTATTGGCTTATTGCGTATTGACACGGACCATATTGGATTGCTTAAACAAAAGCTTCGACACTTTCAAGTCTAATCTGCTTTACACTGGCTTGTTGCATTTGATGTAGAGGACTATCTGCTCGTACTTTTGATGTGAGACATTCGCAACGCGCAGCTGCAAGCCAACTGCTGATTAGTAAGGTAAATGCATAAAAACCATGATAATGTATCCTGTGTAAATACCTATTGGTAGAAGAGAATGACTGTGCAGGTGAAGAGTGTGCAATGCTAATATTCTTTTAGCTCACCTGACATCGTCAAGCTCCAAGCTATTGCCATGGCGTCGTCGTACGTCCGTCCGTCGTCGCCCTCCGTCCGTCCGTCGTCAACATTGGCATACGGTCAACAATAACTCGAGGAACCGTTTGACCAACACATGTTTGAAATTGGTATAGTTTGTTACTGCCTAGTGCTCCCATATTAAACGCTCCTATTTTGGAGCCTGCGATCGGACGTATTTCGAGCCACGCAATTTTTTGGCAAACAATGCAATTGCCATTAGTCAGTTCAGGTTCAACGGCATTTTGCCTCATTTTTGTAATGTGAGATGAATAAGGGCTAGCGGGTTTGATAAAAAATTTAAAAAGAAAAATAATGCAAATTAAGGTAGGGTTTGGCAATTATATAGGCATTTATATAGACACGCAGATAACAAACTAGTCTGTGGTGTCAACACTCGTCTCCGTTTGGTTTTACAAGATTTCTAATTGACAATATCCCTTTAATGCAAAATTCCTGCTATGAACATATTTGATTTATACTTATTATATTTATTATTATATTATATATAATGATTTCATCTAACAAACATCAAACGGTTTATAGCGCCAGTCTACCGTCACAAAAATTGTGATTCATTTTGCGTTATAAATTTATTTATAATTTATATATAATAGTTTTATTTTTTCACATAAAAAAATTACCACATAATAATTATCAATATTTTTCCTAGAATAATGTTGATTCTCCCATATAATACTACTTCATTCTATAAGTGTACGTCGAGGTTGCTCAATTAAAACTTACTTCTTCTCACTCGACTCATTTGTGTCCTTTTTGTGTGGAGCTGACAGTGCATTGACACTTCATTGTATAAAGTGTGAATACTTACTTGACAGTGATGCGGCCATAGATGACGAGGCGTGCGAGATTGAACACTGTGTCTTCTAATCACAGTACTACGCCGCACCAGTCTTTGATTAATTTTAAAGATGGGGACCCACTGGACACCCAAATCGCCGATCTCAGGAATAGGGCATTCTGCGTAGCCTTAGAAACCGTTTCCTACGATCCAGAGTTTGCCACAAATACGAAAATATACACGCTGTTACGCACTGCGCTACGTTCTTCTGTTTGCATTTTCGCATACTCCTAATCAGAATAATCCCCCGTCTTCTTCGATGATGGGAATTAATGGGGCCTCAAACGACGTGACCCTTTACTGCGTTGTTGG